AAACTGGGCACAGTACTCCAGAAGTGGCCTCACCAGTGCAGAACAGAAGGGAATAATCACAGTCCTCAGTCTGCCAGCAGCGCTTCTACTAATGCAGCCTACTCTGCTGTTAGCCTTCTTGGCAACAAGAGCACACTGTTGACTCCTATTCAGTTTGCTTCCTGAAGGCATTGCTTTAACGTTGTTGTAGGGCACCAGTGCAGTAGAACCTGGATTAGTTTGTGGCAGGGGCTGCTGAGTTAATAAGCTGCTCAGCTGTTTGCCATGGCTTTTTATTACAAAGGGGACTTGCTGCTGCTGTGACCAATGGGAGCTCATCTGCTGTTGATCAGAGAAGCAGCACCCTCTGGCACCCGTAGTAAGCAGCTGGCCCACTGCTGTGGCTGTGTATAGCCCTAGCTAGTTCAGACTTGTTTGGAGTGGGGAGGGGGGGGCATCTGGGCACTAGACTCCATCTGCCCAGTAGTCGCACAAGTCCTAAAACCCCTTGTGCTCCAGCATAAACGCTACATCATCCACATGGTAACATCTGAGCTTTTATAAACCTTCCCTATGCAGGTAGGATGATCTTGAAGACAATGGTTCAGACATATGCTGGGAATCACTTAAACAGCCTAATGTGCAACATTTGTGGTTTTAGATTGAAGCGCTGAAGTCTCTTACCAAATCAGATCTGGTTGCCTGGTTCCAGGCTCACAGAAAGAGTGAGAGGAAAGTGCTCAGTGTTCATGTGAGTATGTGCTTGGACTGGCTTCCTCCAGGGCTTCAATGTATGACAATTGCTGGGCTTTTATTTGAAGCTTTTTCTTGCTGCCCTCTAGAAGCAGGCTTCCAGCAACCATTTTTAGACTTAGGCTTGTGTTTTTCAGCTCATGACAGTGAAAAAGCATGCAAGCTAACTGACTCCCTTTGTACTGAGCTGTGATAGTTGCACACAAATCTAGAGACAGCGTATGGGCACTGACAGCCAACAGCCCAATTCCATTTCATCTTCCTTGGACTTAAGAGAAACCTAAGTTTAAAATGACAAAAAGCTTTAAGCCCTGCCCTGTCATGCTTTGTAATGCTCTGGCCTTCGGACTTTTCAGGTGGTTGGATTTGGAAAACATGAAGGGGACTCAGAAGTGACGGCTGTCTCTGAGCCTCAGAACTCTTCATGTGATGAAATACCTCAGCTAACTTTCTTACCCGCATCCTCCTTGATGGCTAACATCACTTGTATCAAGGACATCAAAGCTTACACATCCACTCTGACTGTTCTCCCGTACCATAAAATATTAAAATAAATGTCCTCTTCCCCTGCAGTTGTGTAGCTTAAGTTATTTAAAATTTGAGGGAATTCATTTAGTCTCAAATGAATCTGTACTGATAACAACACTAGGCAAGATCACCCTTGCTAAAATTAAATTCCTTGAGAATTTGTTTTCATACAGCTGCTGTAAATCAGCCACTGTTTTGGATCTCACATTTTCCTTAAAAGAATGCCTAGAGTGAGATGAGATTACTATAAGTGTCTTTTTCTTAAGTCAAGTCTGTCTTCTCAGTACAGCAAGTTACCTGCCCTAAATTATACAATGACCTCTAGAGCCTCTTCTGTCCAGGCTGCCATGTCCAGAGCATGATTGTGACCATGCTACAAGGATTGGAGAGGGTATTTGTGCATCTACCACTATGTCTATTTTACATTTATGATTTTTTTTCAGCTCAAATTAAACTGAAGTATTTAAATTTCATTAGAATGTAACTGTAGCAGCAATTGCCAGTTCTCCCTTTTCCCTGTTAAGTAGTAAAGAAGAAGATGGGGTGGAGGGAGAAGATTTAGTGGTATGTTGACAGGAAACATACTGTGTGAACTCTGTTTGTTTGTTAATCATTCAGAGCATGGCCAAGAGCTGTGTGATTGGAGATTGTCCATTAAGTAGGATTTTCAGTCTAGTTATGGGAGTCTTTGTCCTCACTTTGCAGTATGGACACGAGTGAATTTTACTAAAAGAATGGCAGCTGCTGCTACAGAAAAGTGAAACCAATGCATGTTACAAGCTGCCCTAAAACTCCTGTTCAGGGGAAGAGGTTTTTATTACTACTACCTAACCTGTGAGTAGCTCTTCAAAGCAGGAATGTGGTCAAATCAGTTCATAGCATAAGTCTTCCGCTACCAACCCGAGGGGAAAAGAAAGGACCTTCAAGATAAGTCAGGTGGACTATTCTTGTCCCAAGAGATTAAGATTTCCCTTTGGGGCAGGGAAGAACACTTCATCTTATTGGGAAAAATCACACTTGGGTATTTGGTGAGATGAGCCTCTTCTCTGTGGCCATAAGGGTCAGGACTAGGATCAATGGCCTCAATGTAGCAGAGGAAGTATAGTCTGGAAACAGGGAAGAACTTGCAGGGTAGGAACAGGAAGGTAATCAAGCACGGGGACAGGCTGCCTAGAGAATTAGAGTCTTTATCCCTCACATTTGTCAAGAGAAGGTTAGACATTTGCCTGGGCTGACTTAGTCAGGGATGATCCTGCCTTGAGTGTGCAGCTGGACTAGCTGACCTCCCCATCCTACTTCCCCATGATCGCAAGGTGCTGCCCTTACTCCAAGATGGAGTTTTCCCTTGCTGAAGCTCCTAACTGGTAGATGTAGAGTAGTTTAAGCTTAAATACTAATGTACTGCACCAGAAGCATTTGCATGGCTTCAACTTGACAAGTTCAGAGGGGATACATTTAGGGCACCATGTTAGCATTGTATAGTAGTAGACTAGTGGGTATTCTAGTCTGTACGAGGAGAGACTAGCTGAGAGAGTAACAAAATGTCACTCTGATATTGTTCACCTCTTAAATATATTGGACTAGAATTACTCCAGTGGCTTTTCTGAACAGCACCAAGGTGCTAGGAACTCCCACTGTCCCCTCCAGGTGCAAGGGAGGCAACATGAAACACTTAATGCCCAGCTTTTCCGTTTCGCTAGCAAAGCTCAGGGGTAAAAGTCAAACTGCTGCTCAGTACCATTTTCAAAAGCACCTTGAGGACTTTGTAGGCTAAATTCCTTTAAATCCCATTCTTAAGTGACTTGTATTTTTCTGGAAGTTTTACTTGCTCTCCATATAAACAGTAATGCTAATTCTTCACAAAAATTATTTGCCATATACTGAATAGTTGGAAGTCTTTTTTTTTTTTTTAACTCATAGCTCAGTTTCAAAACAATCTTGCTGTAAAGGTTTATTAAGAAATCAATAAATACAAATCCATAAGAGAAGTTTGAAAAATCTATTTTATGAAGCTTTGAGATGCACTGCGTAAATTGTAATCTATGGTTACATTTTTCTTCTCTAAAATAAAATACCAAAGTTATTTTGGGTGAGACACCGGACTGCCAAGGGGGTTTGATTTATCATACAGGTGGTAGGTAACATTGATGGAGCACTGTCTAATAAACTGTCCAATCAAAGGAATCCTCATATTTACACATTGCAAACATAACAATTTAAATGAAGTCTTGCATTTTGTATATGTAGGACCCAGGAATATTATGCAACTGATACCAGATGTCATCATGTCCTTCACAGTGGTTATACAGAGTGTATGTTCCACAGCCCAGATTATTTATGCTTCTGAAGCATGGAAAAAAAAAGGCTCAGACATCCTGCCTCTGAAGCCTGAATGCACTATTTGAATGGCAGAGTCCCAACATAAGTTACTGTCCTAGTCAAGAAGTTTTCTGTTTTAATTGTTCATCTGCATCAGTAAGTCCAGTATCCCTGAGATAGGAACCACTGTTACTGGAGGGGACAGGTTCTCCACAAGCCCATACTTGATAAGTGATGGCTATCCTGGTATCAGATGTAAACTTCACTAAGCCAAGGCCTGCATGTTTTAGGGGTTTATAAAACACCTAGTGTTTGCTGGCAACAAGTCGTTTCAGTAGCGGCTCATCATAAACCCAACATTCTCCATCTTCATGGAATAACTAGAAAAGAAGGGAAGGGGAACGTTACATCTGTAAGATTTTTTTGGTGGAAAACCAGCAAGAATGATGTAAATGTGACAAATTTGAACACAAGTCTTTAAAGTTTCCACTGCTGAAGAGCTCACCCGTGTTTCCCATGACGTCTCATTCTCCTTTCTCGCTCTGGCTTCAGCTCTTTGTTTTTCTTCAAGTCTGTGCTTTGCATCAGTAGCTGCATCGATGTCTCTGACTTTTAAGTTGTGAGTTACATCTTTCCATAGGCTTACACAAAAAAGCAGTTTTTAAATATGTTGCTCTATGGGAGGAAACAGTTCTACAAGGCACGTTACTGCATTATTATTGGATCTTAATTCTGCACTAAAGCCTTTTAATGCATTGATGCAATTAAAATAAGTAGGAAAATGAAGGTCCAGTTTTAAATATTGCCATTTTACTGAACAAGTTCCAGTGCCGATTTAGTCTGATCTAGTCCATGACTCAGGTCATTATATAGTTTTTATAGTAGTTTTATTTCTCAGAAAATCCTAGTCTACTACACACTAGCCCAGGGGCCAGATGTGGCCTGCCAGGCCATTCTATCTGGCCCACAGGGCCCCTAAAACATTTAGACAATTGATTTTTATCCACCCCTGGTTACCTGTCATGTGGCCCTCGATGGCTTGCCAAAAAACTCAGTAAGCGACCCTCTGCCCAAAATAATTGCCCACCCCTGCACTAGTCAGAAGTCCTTTGCATCAGCTTTGTGAAATGCTTACCAGCGAGACTCATATTCCTCTTGGTCCTCCAGTTTCCTTACCTTCTTCTTAATTGTAGGCATTTTCTTGGTATCTATGAAGACTATGTTCTCCTAAAGAGAAAAAGTTGTTCAAAACAAAGAGTTAGGTTACTTGTTTAGGTTTCATTTGGATATGTACACACTTTTCTTAATGCCTTCAGAAAAAGGTGTCAGAATAAAATGTAACATTCTAGAAGAGCTGATGCAAACCCATTTGGCACCTCCTGCAATCTCTCCTCACCTTCATAGGAGGTCCCACTACTTCTGTTGAAACAGTTTTTTGTTGCAGTGCTTAAAGCACACTGAAGCGTTCATCAGCTCCTCACACTTCTACCCACTAAGCTGAATGCATATATAAAAGGAGGGGAAGAGAAACTTCTGCAGGAGCCCCTCTGGATGCTGCATTACATTTTGCAATCTACCATCCATGAAAATACTAGAGCACAGTTCTTGAGACAAAACAAGAGAAGTTGCTTTACCCCTGTTGCATATTTTGCATACATGACGCCATTCCATTCCCCTTCAATGGAGCAGAAGGATCTCTTGTCATTTGGGTAGCTAAATGGAAGGAAAGATGAATTTAATTCTGTTGTTCATATCACAGTAGCACCCGAAGTCTCCAGCCAGGGTCAGGGCCTCATCCTAGGTGAGAACATAATTTCTCACATCTAACATGCACCTTCCTTTGGCCCCTCCCACTCAAAGAAAATCAGCCTGTCCAAGAGGGGGGGTATGTGTTAAGCAAGGAAAGTGATTTTCTGCCCAGGAGAGAAGCACTGTTTTGGATCCTGCTCTACAGTGCAGAAGCTGGCATTACTATTCAGCAGCTGAGGAAGTCAATTGACTTAACCTTTCATTGTTCTCTACTCCACAGGTGTTAAGAGCCCTCTCCTCTAATGCTCTTGATGTTCCACTAATCAAGCTAACTTTTCTTATGGCAAT